GACGCCACACCTGCTCTTGAGGAAAACCAACTCGAATAAGACCGATAATAGTACTTAATCCCTCATGCTCTCCCGCCCAAAGCATGGACGCCAGATCAGGGACCCCACTAGTAAAGCAAGTTTCAAAAACTGATAAAGCGGACGAGCTTAGGTCTTCTTCTTGAGTCCTCAAGCATTGAAGGATTCCAAAGAGGGTTCTATGAATGAGGAAATGCTCGTTTGAGTTGCTAACGTGTACCAGCACTTTACGCAGGGTTCTTAAGGCACTCTGCAGACAAGAGCTTTCGGTGATTGTAGAAATTATTTTTGTCAGAGATTGTACGATAGAACTCATGAAGGAGTGGTCCCAGCCTGGGAAACTAACATGAGACATTACGTTGGCAAGTGTGCGACAGGTCGGGTTAAGTATGCGTGGGCGGGAAGAGGAGGAGAGAGTCCGACCTACATGTACATGTGTAAAATGTGACAAAAACTAATCAATAAAGGATGGGATCATTTTAAAGCCAGAAGGTGTGCAGTGATATTGTAAATATGACAAAAATTTAATTAATTGGCATTGCAATGCATCTGTGTATGTAAATATTGATGCAAAGAAGCAGCTATTGTGTGCTAATTGTGTGATGCTGCAGTGACTATATATAACTGATGCCTGTACAGAATGATGATCTTTAAACTCACATATTTCTGCTAATGCAATGTTAATGACCTGTAATAATGATAAAGATAATTATGCATATATAGAGAGGATAAATATGGAGAAAGAGAGAGAAGGATTGTGAATGTTATTACATGACATTAATTGCAGTCAAACCTTTTCTTGAATTCTTTTATCTATTGCACAGAGGTTTGCAAGTATGCTCCAAGCAAGAGCTTTCACTCCATCTCCTTCTTCTCCCGCAGCTCCTCCAGAGACGAGAAGAGACTGCAGACCTTCTACGAGCCCTGCATTAGCATGTAATGCTTTGCGGGCGTCATTATGACGCAATGACTTTAATTTGAGGAAGGAGAGCGTCCCTTCTAGCGCCTTTCTCTCGGAGCCCGTCTCCACGTAGTTCTTGGCCTGCACTATAAACTTGTCCGTGAGTCTTTTTGTGTTGTTCTCTCTAGTAGACCCGCTCTCTGTAGACAAGACAGGAGAAAGAGACGGGGCAACCTTCGAGTCGCTGTCGTCCATTTTTTTCTGCAGATCACGTGAGCTTGCTGAGCCACGCCCATCAGTTGCTGCAGTGCTAGTGCAGGCAGTAGTAGCTCGTGCAATATCTAAGCTGTACTCCAGCTAGAAAATTAAAATAACAGAGTTTCCATTTTTATCAAAACAAGCTTTGATGTCTATTCCTTGGTTTAAATGGCTTGGTGAAAATTTTTCTCCTTTAGACTCAGTTGTTATTAAAATATGTCCCGAACTCATTGCAACACAGTTTGGATTTGTTAACAGATTTTCATTTCTAAACTCACCCAGCTGTGAAAATTTAAAAACCACCAAAATCCTATTATTTCAATATGATTAGATTCATTTTACGTAATTACAGAAGTATTCATTTATGCTATGATACTCATGAATTGAATATGATAATGATGAATATTAACATCTTTCAATGATAGGTTATATGACACAAGTATGTATCTACATGGTACTTAGGTTTTGCAAGTAGGAAGGATTAATAATATTACATTGGATTTACCAGCCTTGCTAGACTAACGCTACTCGATATAATTCAAAAGTCTACTACATGCTAGTATATTCCAATTAGTTTATATAAGTGTTTTATATCTTATCCTATAGCTCGATCTATTCTAATCTGGTTTAAAATGAAGTCTTCTTTGTGCAATATTGCTACAGCTTACAGTGTTGCTGCTATTTATAATTGAAATATTTTTTGAACTTGATTTAGTTTTGAGCAAAGGGAGATGCTCCACAAAAACACAATAGCACTTATGATAGTTAAAGTAAAACCACTTAAAGTTTATTATTATTATTATGTTCCAGACCCAGAGGGACAACGAGAAGAGAGGATCACGTGAGCCTCAATTGTGGTTACCGGACTGTACAGCTGTGGTGGATAGCTCAGGCAACCTTTGCAAGCAGAAACGCTCTCTCTCCCTCGCCTAACTCCACGAGACGGTCTCAAAACTGCTCCTGCAGGTAGAAATAGGCATACAGGGGCCCTTTGATAACACAGGTACTCGCTCTGCCTTCTTCCTCGATTGCTACACAGACGCGTTGCTCTATATATTTACCAGGTAAGCAGCCTTCATTGTGTTATAGCCGGATACTCTGACACACTTCAGGCATCCTTTCGCCATGGAGCTACTGGCTAACAGCAATGGAGGTGATCTGAATGAAGTCCTCCCTAAAGAAGCGCCTGGCACTCTTGCAACTTTGAACAGGTAGTTCCTCTGTCAAGAAAGAGAGAAATAGATGGATTGCTGAGTTGACAGAGAGAGAGAGGAGTGAATTCCATTATGTGACATAATACCTAGCTAATTGCTCCTCATATCGTGAATATCTATACGTCATTGTAGCCATTTTATCTTTCTCCCGTTTGAGAAGAGAAGCAAAGGGATGCTTTGTTTTGAGCCATTTTATAATTTAAATTTGTCACCACATACCTGTAGCTAATTGATGCTTTTACTTGCCTAGTTTCATTGTAAATCAAAGAAAGCAGGAGAAATGGAAAGGTTTTGCTTCAAGCAATTGCAAATACAACTTTAATGGCTGTATTATTGTGTATGTGTGTACATTTTACAGAAAGTAGCTGCTGCTTCACAAGCCACACCCTATAATAACCACCCACGCATCAAACCACGCCCATAACAATAGCTGCAATAGATCTTGAAAGTTTATTTGATACTTGGAATGTTGAGAGAATCCATTTTCCCTTTGTGATGCATGTACATCTACATGTCATTTATACACTGTACATGTACACATGCTCATATTACAGAGCTAGTATGTGTACTGATCTACTGTGTACTTGTATTGTTAATGTTAATGTTCATAATGCACATTTTTATTCAATTCCCAATACTATTCCATAAGCATTAGTTGTGTGTGTGCATTTGTATCTACATGTATACTTATAGTCACAATTATTATAGGGGGCATTTTAATAATTTTAGTTTTTTGTACGATTCGCATTAATTATTGGTGCCCAAAAAAGGCTCTTATTATTATTATTTTTTTATTAATAAAATTTAAACTGTTGCTATATTTAGAGTCGTGTTGCTATATTTAGAGTCCTAGTATTACTGTGTGGTGCCTTTTTGACTGGTTTACATTTCTTGAAGTTATGGCACTTTAAAGTGTTGTTCATTAACACATTGTTTTTGTTGTCCTTCTTCACCTCCCTCCCCTCTCTTTCTCCTTTCTCTCTCCCCCCTCTCTCTCCCTCCCCCCCTCTCTCCCTCTCCCTCCCCCCCTCTCTCCCTCTCCCTCCCTCTCTTTTTCCCTTCCTCTTTCTTTCTCTCTCTTTCCCTCCCTCTCCCCTTTCTCTTTTCCTCCCTCTCTCTTCCTCTTTGTTTACATTATGGAATGTTACTATCAACATTTTCTCTTTTATGTGAATAAAATAATAACATTATTATAATTATAATTATTTTATTTTCTATTACTCTAGTGACTTACATGTACTAAGTGGTGATGAGCTATTGACCACACCCATCCTCCCTCCTCCTCCTCCTCTTTCCCCTCCCTCCCTCCCTCCAATCATTAATGGATCCGTCACTGATGAATGTCTGAACTTTAATGGCATCACTGAGGATCAGCTAGGAGTGGAGGATCAGAAGAATGAAGAGATAACGGAGACAGTTCTAGAAGAAGGGGATCAACAGGATCTGATGGTCACTGCTCAACCTGTTCCTGTCGACACTGAAATTGAAAAGGACTCTCTCCTACATGATCTCTTGGGCTCAGAGCCTGGCAAGCTGTTGGTGATTGAAAGCAGCAAGTGAGGTTTATATCTTCATCCAGTATTGCAGAATATGCATGTGCCTCTGCTTGTAGCTAAAATTGAATGTTAAATTACATCAGCAACATGTGAATGAATAATACGTGATCTTTGTTAAAAAATATCTATAAATTTTCAATATTATTATCTAGTGCATGTACACTGTTTACTTGTATAAATTAATGATTCTATGCAGTAATTTTGAGCTGATTATCATTACAAATTTTAAACCCTCTCACTCCCTCGCTCTATCTGTCCTCTCAGTATAATAATGGAGAATGATAATCAGTCAGCAGCCAAGCCTCCCTCGCCTAAAGAAGTCCCAGAGGCTCCAGAAGTTATAAAAGAATCAAAAGAAGAAATGGAAGACACTGTCACTAAAGGAATGGACGAGATAAAGGAAGTGGTCCCGGTGGCGGCCATATTGCTAATCCCTCCTACTTTAAACTCTGTGACGGTCACTCCTGAGGCAGAAGATGAGGAAATGGAGGTTCAGTCAGAGCACAATGAGATCCTGCAGCAGTCAAGTTAGTGTAATGTCAAACAGAAGCAAGAGGAGGGGCTATTGTAGGGTAGCTGTTAGAGAAGGTTTTTATGTAGCAATGGAGGTGTTTATAAGTATGATTAGTAGTTGCTGTAAGGGCCAGAAATTGATTGTCTAGAGGATTGTTAGGATATGAAGATACATGTACTTCTAATGCTTTTTGAAGCTGATGCAAAATTGGCATTATAGACTCATTTATTTGGCAGCTGTGGCCCAGCTATGCTTTAATTGTCATTGTTTAGAGGGTTTTATTTTGCCTCCCTCCCTCCCTCTCTCTCTCTCTCTCTCTCTCTCCCTCTCTCTCTCTCTCTCTCTCTCTCTCTCTCTCTCTCCCCCCATTCCCTCTCTCTCTTCCCCCCCCCTCTCTCTCTCCTCTCCTACAGGTACATCAAAGGAGTCAGATTTATCTGGTGATTCCCACATTATGTCCTCATTATCAGAGCCTGATATCAATGCACATCAGATACCAACAACATCTTCATTGCTTGTAACTGATCAACTTGATGGTATAGTAACACATCACATCTTGTACACACACACACGTACATGTATACATGCTTATAGATATACATTATGTATATAAATAACCAGTAAAATTCCTTTTGCAGATTTTATTTTTGCAAATGCATTTTAGCCTGCTAAAAGAATTAAATTTTACACTTTCTCTAAATGTGCAAAATTAGCAGACATATCCTGGGCCATAATTCTAAATGTTATTTTATTTCTAGTTCCTGATGTCCTTGAAACTGTTAAAGATTTATCTCCTCCTCACGAAGAGGTCATACCAGCTCCGTCTGGGGTCGCATCATTTTCACTCTCCTCAGTCAACATTCCTGATAACGCATTGAATGCAGTGAGTTTTAATATTGGCACTGGGTCTGATGCATATTCTAATATTTGCACTGGGTCCACTGGTTTTGATGCATATTATAATATTGGCACTGGGTCTGATACGTATTATAATATTAGCACTGGGACTGTTGCATATTCTAATATTGGCACTGGGTCTGATGCATATTCTAATATTGGCACTGGGTCTAATACATATTTTAATACTGGCACTGGGTCTGATACATGTTATAACATTGACGCTGGGTCTGGTGCATATTCTAATATTGACACTGGGTCTAATGCATATTATAATATTGGCACTGGGTCTAATGCATATTATAATATTGGCCCTGGGCCTGATGCATATTCTAATGTTGGCACTGGGTCTAATACATATAATAATATTGACGCTGGGTCTGAAATATTTTTATACATTTAATTTCTTTTCTTTTTTAGCCTGTTAATATGCTGACACGTAATTTCCCTCGGAGGCACAGGTTCTTGTCTTTTTATATTTTGTTGATTTTATGTGTTACTATTTTTAGACACGTCCACAGAGCTGCTGTTTATGCTATGCACCCATACCACAGGGCAACATGGTAATAATAATAATAATAATAATAATAATAATGATTATGATGATAATAATAATAATAATAATAATAATGATAATAATAATAATAATAATAATAATAATAACTGATTCCAATCAATTTTGGATTTTTACGAGCTTTTAAATTTGCTCCAAAATCAGGCCAAAGTCCCTGTACTATAGTACAGGGTCTCAGACCAAATTTTGCGAGAATTGAAAAGGAGACGATTCTCCATTTTTATACTCTTCCTGTTTCCCTCAGTCGTGGTGGGGCTGGGGTCAGTGTTGCTAAAACGCTTGAGTTGATCAAAGCCGTTCTTCAAACCTCCTTTAATCAAGAGCTGAAGAAACTGTGTGACGATTATTTACAAGTAAGCCTTATCTTTTAAAACCTCATTCCTCTTATTTTTATGCTCATTTCCCTTCTTTATTGTTTCTTAGATATTCTCAATTGCCGCTGCTAATATAAATGATAATACTAATGACACCATCCCTGACTCTACTCTGAAGATTCTGGTTATGAAAATGCTTGAGGAGGTAGGCACTAAATAACAAACAATCAATTTTATTGTTAATTTTAAACTAAATATAATTTAATATAACAGTTTTTTACTTTTTAAAGGTACTAGTGTTAGGTTTGATTTTATTGTTAGTTAGTTTTTACTTACACCTTTAAAAGTAGAATTAGGCTCATTCTAATGATTACTTCCTGTGCTTATATGGATTGTGCAATGAAGCAGACACTTATTCTATCATCACTGCATGCATGATGTATTACTTTATGGATTATTATTGTTTAGTTGATTATAATTTTATTTTATTTCTTTTATTTTATTTTATATTTTGTTTCCTTCATTTTATTATTATTTTTTTCATTTTTATTTATTTATTTTTATTTTATTTTTATTTTATTTTATTTTATTTATTTTATTTTATTTTATTTATTTTATTTTATTTTATTTCTTTTTATTTTATTTATTTTTATTATTTTATTTTATTTTTATTTGTATTTTATTTTAGGCTCAACAAGGCTATCAAAATGGGAAGTGGGAGTTCCCTTCAGTTCAAGTAAATAAAATAAAATAAAATAAAATAAATATATTTTAATTCATTATGCCAGTTGCCTAAGAACGACAGGGTGAGTGATTCTAAAGGTCCTCCAATGTCTACTAAAAAGGTAATCATTATTTAATACCAGTCCTTATCAAAAGCCTCTTATTATTATAATACTAACCGGTACACGTATTATCTTAATTCTTTTAACGTACCCGTAGGTCAGATCTGAGAAGGAACCCAGACAGTACTCAAGCAATAAAAGGGTACTCTAGATACAGTTATATTGTTTTATTTTATTATTATTTTCTCATGTTTTTTTTGTAGAGAAAAATGACTGAAAAAGCAGTTGACAGGTACATCATTTAATTCATTATTTTTAATTTATTTTTTTATGTTTATTTTTGTCCTCTACTTTGTAGCTCTCGTGCTCCTTGGAGGTGGAGTCTTGATAAGAGACGACTCAATCCTGGAAAAGTAAGTGAAGGACCTCTTAACGTGTGTGTGTGTGTGTGTGTGTTATATAATATACATGTAAGTTTTAGTATCATTATTAAATTATATTATTGAAAAAACCATGGGCTATAGTACAGGGTATTTTTCAGAATTTTGGCGTTTTCTTAAAATGGCTGTAACTCGAAAAATTAAAGTCGGAATTAGCTCAAACTTGCTACACAGCATAAGGGCATCAATATGTATTAGAAAATGTGATAAAAATTGGGGGTGATTTTGGAGCCATTTTTTGGAAAAAACCATGGACTATAGCCTTGGGTATTTTTCATAATTTTGACATTTTCTTAAAATGGCTGTAACTCGAAAAATTAAAGTCGGAATTAGCTCAAACTTGCTACACAGCATAAGGGCATCAATATGTATCATAAAATGTGATAAAAATGTGGGGTGACTTCGGAGCCATTATTCGAAAAAAACCATGGGCTATATAGTACAGGGTATTTTTCAGAATTTTGGAATTTTCTTAAAATGGCCGTAACTTGAAAAATTGAAGTCGGAATGAGCTCAAACTTGCTACACAGCATAAGGGCATCAATATGTATCGGAAAATGTAATAAAAATTTGGGGTGATTTCGGAGCCATTTTTTTGGAAAAAACCATGGGCTATATAGTACAGGGTATTTTGTCAGAATTGTGGCATTTTTTTTAAATGGCCGTAAGTTGAAAAATTCAAGTTGGAATCAGCTCAAACTTGCTACACAGCATAAGGGCATCAATATGTATCAGAAAATGTAATAAAAGTTAAGAGTTGCCAAGACAGTTTTTCTATAGAAAGCATATACACATGTACTCTTAGCTGTGTTATATCACTTTGGAGAACAATCATATGATATAATGTGTTTACGTAGCCTATTCAGTCCTTCAGTATTTATATAATCTT